CCCCAAAACCCCAAAACCCCAAAACCCCGTAAAGCTAGCATTTTAAGTTATATTGTTTAAATAAGATTAATAAATGGTTGAATAAATAGATAAGCAGGATTATTAACTAAGAGATTTCATTGATCATGATATACTTGAAATGGAAAGCAATGACCAATATTAAATTTGATCTATTCAAGTCAATGACTTTAATCAATATCTAAAGCCAATGCAGGGCTAGCTAGTTGAAGTGCTGCCTATGTCCTTTGAGAATTACTTGCAATTTATAAGTTTCTAATAAATAGCTAAACATGAAGTATGAATATTTTTGGATTGCAAAACTGTATGTAGGTAGTTTTAATAGCAATTGAAAGAAGTACATAGAAATTAATAGGTGTAATAAGATCTGCTTATGAAAGTTAAAATTATAATTATCTCGTAAGTTTATTGAGTAATACTATCATGACTCTTCATTAATTTACAAGTTCAAGCTATTCTTCAATATGAACTCTAAATTAATTAGTTAAATTCATAATACATATCTATAGACAATGAGCTATGAATGCTTAGCTGTTCTACAAAAGTATTAAAGTAAAGGGATAGGAAAGAGACTTTTAAGAGCAACAATAAATATTGCAAAAGTTAGAGGAGCATAATCTATTACTCTGTTCTGTTTTGATGATTTATATGAGTTTTATAAAAAGGTATAAATATTTCGCTCAATCTTTTTATTCAAATGTAGCAAAGTTATGAAGAAACTAATAATAGATTTATAATTACAAAGGAATTACTTGAATTAGATGAAATTGAAGTTAATCAACCTGATAGCAAAATATTACAAGAAAATAAAGTTTATTAAGGATTGATAAACTTCAAGCAACTATAAGAGGCAGTCCTAATTATAGATATCGACTTAATCAATCATAAAATTAAGGAGGAAATTAAAAGCTAACAAATCGAAAAAGGCAACGTGTACACTTTTGATCTAGATGATTAGACCTTCAATGAAAATTAAGATAGACTTAAAATCCTATGTTTGGGGAAAGAAAATTCTCAACCTGTTGCATCACTGTTAGTAACTTTTGAATTTGCCTTCCCTAGAAATTCTTAGATGGTAAACTCAATTAATCCTAATTTAATCGTATAGTATGCAAAAATTCATGAAGTTGCATTCGATGAAGAATTCAATTTTGACAGTGATAAGGATTTGATTGGTATATTTTCGTGTAAATTAATATTTTCTAGAAAAATAATTGCATAAATTGGCTATTAATGCAGCTCAAAAGAGAAAAGCACTGTACGCATTCATGATAATTCCTAAATAAAAAACATAGCTTTATGAATAAGTAAGAATAAGCTTAATATCACTTATTAACATTATAGTGTGGATATATGAATTACAATATATATGAAATGAAGAAGAATCTAACTAATTCACAAGAAAATGTACCCAGCAATTAATTACGCATATTTAATAAATTAGTTGATCAATGTAATCCTTATCCTATCATTGGGTTACATGATCAGAGATAAAATTGATAGAATTAAAATTAAATGCTGGGAAGCTTAATTGATATAGTTCAAATAACAGGGGCAAAGGCAATAAAAGTTTAAGAAGAGATATCTTAAGTTGATTTGATACATCTGAGTAAATAAATAAATGCCATTCTAATTCTTAATGATGAATAAATCAGTAAAATTCATAAATAGGATTTTTGTAAGAGTGATGAACAAAAAGGTTTCAGCTGCCCTATTATAAATATAAGTATGAATCCAGTGTAAATCAAAGATTATACAGAGAATTTTAAAGTTTTACAAGAATAAATAATGAATTATGATCCTTATATGCATTAAAAAGATCCAATTATCACAAAAATCATGAATTAATTCCAAGATTATTTTAACTTTTAAGACCCAATCGGAATTTAAAATATCTGGGCGTTTAGTTTCCTCGAAAAATTGATAATTGTACGGTCAACTGAGAAAAATATATTAGATTTAGATAGCTAAATATTATTAGTTATTAGTAAAAACTTGAGTAATATTGACTGTTAAATTGAACTTAATATATTCTTTGACGTTATAAATCTTCATTCCAACATACTGAAGTCTATTGAATTTGGAAGTGATATTTGTCTTGAATTATTTAAAGATATGAGTAAATTAATCTATAAGGTTGCTACCACAAATGTAAACAAAATGAACATAGAATTGTAGAAATTACAAGAGATTTTATCCCAAGAGTGATTATAGGAGATAGTTGATTAGAATTTTACCAGATTAATTTTATGAGTAAAATATTAATTAATTCAATTTTTGAAACATTTGCTTAACATATTATTTCAATTTTTATTCAAGGGGTTTTGGGGTTTTGGGGTTTTGGGG